ACTGAGCAGGCTTAGAAGCAATGACGATCTAATAGCAATGAATACCCTAGTGCCCAAACCTTGCTTTCTTATGTAATTCTCCAACTAAAGGAACTAAGTAAGGTTCCCTGAAGAAATCCAGGGTCAGGACAGGAACACAAACAAGGAAAATGGGGAAGACTCACAGGTGGAGGGCAGGATCACAGCTACTGAAGGGGCGAGGCAGTGGGCAGAGGTTAGGGGGTTAAGGGATTGAACAAAAAGGAAGTGGGACGCATGGACATGGACACGGTGTGGTGATTGCTGGGGGAGAGGGTATAAGGGTGCTAAATAGTAACGAAAAGAAAAATAAAGATTAATTTTTTTAAAAAGCCTGAAACGTTTTTGGTGCCAAAAAATAAAGTGCTAGGAAAAAATTATAGAAACATGAAAAAAGATAAGGAGCTAACTTGGAAAGACTTTCAACAGCCAAATCTAGGACATTTCAACTAAAAATAAACAATGATTATACCGAATAGAATGAAATACAAATCCATGAGTCTACACTGGTAGGTAAACAAATAATTACATAAGTGGAGGAGAAGGGAAAGCTCCTCCTTACAGTAGAATTGAAACTAATAGAGGAAGAAAAAATAATAGAAACAGAAAATCATCAAAAATATTTTTTAAAAAATCATCACTAATCATCATTACCACAGTAAGTTTTTCAAGCAAGATTCATCAATGATGCTAAAATTATCGTATGATGGATGAGAAACGAGTATGATGACAGAAAGATATTTACAAAATCTCAAAGTACTTCTTCACAAGATACCTACCCTGTGCCTAAGTACAACAGGGAGAAAAAAAATTCAGAAACCTTATACCATAGAAGACTGGCAGACACCCTGGTGTGATGCACTAAGGATGATATGACATCAATTCTGTGGTATTCTTGCCAAAAATGAGTAACTTCCATTTAACAATGAGGAATCATCAGACAAACTAAATCGAGGGACATTCTAGAAATCATTTTGCCAGTATTCTTCCAAAGTGTCAACATTATGAAAGGCAAAGAAAAACAGAACCATTCCAGACTAAAGAAGATTAAGACATGACAACTAAATACAAAGTATGAGCTAGATAGGATCCTGAACCAGAAAAGTGACATTACTGGGACAAATGGTGAATTCTGAAATGTTTACAAATTAGATGATAGTACTGCACCAATGTTAATTTCCTTATTTTTATAATTGTACTGTGATTACATAAGGTATTAATGTGGGTAAAGGTTATACAGGAATTACTGCTAAACAGCTGCAACTGTTTTATAAGTCTAAAATTATTTTTTTAAAAGGTAAAGAAAGTATAAAAGCCTCATGAGTAAATATGCTTGGCACAGGTAAGCACTCAAAACAGTTAGCTATTCATACTATAATTCTCCAGTATATTAAGCCTCCTGACTTCTTTGTTACTCATTTAGCAAATATTTTACTGAGTGCCTACTATGTGCTCAACAAACAGAAAAGGAAGGTAAGAAAAAAGCAAGCAAGCCAGGCAGCAAGGCAGATATTCACTTACTAAGAGATTCCTAGAACAGCTGAGAGTGTCCCTTCAAATACACTCATGTCCATATACATTCTTACTCTCTTTCAAACTGAGTAATTCCAAGTCCTGCCTAATTCTTGCTCTCCACTTTCCAAGTTCCTGCCCCTTGCTTTGTTATCAAAATGCCTGTATTCTAAAACATGGATCAAAATTCCAGCTTTTAGATTTGGCCCATAACTTAGTCTTTCTGACCATTCCTGTTTATTTATAAAATTGAGATGTCTTCAATCAACTTTATAGGGTTTTTGAGAGAATTAAATGGGAACAAATACAAGTAAGCAGCACATAGTACACGCTCAAAAAATGTCAGCTGCCTTTCCCTTACAAGTTATATAGCTGACCCTTGAACAACACAGGGTTTAGGGGCGCCGACCCACTGGCACAGTAAAAAATCCATGTATAACTTACTTTTGACACCCCCCAAACACAAGTTGTCCTTTGGTGTCTGTGGGGTAGGGTTCTAGGACTTCCCACCTCCGCAGATGAATACCAAAATCCACATATGATTAAGTCCTCTACATAAAATGGTACAGATCAAATACATACAGTCAGTAGACTCCCAACTACAGATGGAAAACAGTACAGGTATTTACTGGGGGGACACACACACGTATAAATAGACCCATGTAATTCAAACCCGTGTTGTTCAAGGGTCAGTTGTATTTTCTAATTGTAGGATCCTGAAGTGTAGATCAACAACTGCTTTATTAATCTCTAGGTGAATCCCTGTTCTATCTTCCAAAGAAGCTACTTTGTATTTTTTACCTACATATTTTAAAAAGTAAATATAAATAATATATTTATTTTATCCATTTTAACAGTTTCAGTATGCACTGAAAACTAAACTAAACTAAACTAAAAAATATGCATAACTTCTTCCTCTTTCCCAAACATGAGACAAATAATTCTAACAGCTTTTCAAAACACTATCTAGATTTTCTCACTCTGCCAATCTCAAAACTCGAGATTCCAACATTATGCTCTGCTGCCACCTATTGGCTGTTACCATACTCTCCAGATATTTCCTTCATTTTTGGAATCCTAAACCAGCCTTAAAACGCAAGCCTCAACCCAGTGGAGTCTAGTCCTACTCGAATGAGATGGTCCAAGTGCCTATAAAGAGCTCCAGCACAATCACTTTAAATCTAACACAACTAAAGATACATACTTCACAATTTACATTTTCTAGGCTTTTTTCTCCTATTTTCCATTATAGATGTTATAGCTGTCTCTGAAAAATATAAACACCAAGGTATAGGTAGTGAAGTCTAGTGGACAAAAACCGCTTTCCCAGAACTAGACGTGTTGTCAAATGGAAATACTCTAATTAGAAAACCAACTAAAAACTGTAGGACTACAAACAGTAAAAACAATTGTCTCAAATGCTACATGATTCCACCATGCTTTGCTATTTCTGTACTTTATTCTAAAAATATTCATACAATATTTTATACTCATATAGCACTGGTAAGCTCAATCATATTAGAAGAATGTACTGAACTCAACACTATTGAACATAGAAAAGCTTTCTGCCCAATCCTATCTTGAAAAAAGGCAATTTATAATAGTCACTTCTATTCTACCCAAACAGTTAAATGACTTGCTCACTCTGGCTGGGTGGTTCAATTAGTTGAAGCGTCGTCCCACAAACAAAAAGGTTGCAGGTTCGATACCCAGTTAGGGTGCATACAGAAGGCAAACTGATTGATGTTTTTCTCTCATATCAATGTTTCTCTTTCTCTCTCTCTTTCCCCTTGCTTCCTCTCTCACTAAAATCAATAAATATATCCTCAAGGTGAAGATTAAAAGAAAAGTGACTTGCTCAATAAATAGTCATAACATGTCAACACAAATGCAAACACACATAGAGAGTTTAAAATGATGAACTTCAACTTCATTGGCAATTGCGTAATTTGCTGGTCTCTCTTTTTCAAACCACATTAAATTTCAAAACACTTTCCTGATTAATTCAAAGAAAACAGATTACCATGAATAGTTACAACTTTTTCATACAGTAGGCAAGTAAAAGATGTCACAAAAGAAGAACAGTAAGAAGCTCTTCAACTTGCTTTCAGATTTTACTGCAACTTGCCAACAATGGTAAAAGGTGATACAGTGGTTACATGCAAGGGTACAAAGCATACAACATGGTTCACAGTCTTCAGAGGCTGACAGTATAGTCAGGAATACAAAACTCAAATGTAGAAAAGGATGAACAAAATAAGGCAGAGTATTAACTGAAAAATAACTGGTATAGGTAATATTTACACAACAGTTGAAGGGTTGAAACAGTAATAAGAGCAAAGGCACACCTCTATAGTAAAGGAGGGCCTTAAGCTAAGAGTAACAGCAAGGGAATTTCAAGCCACTGAAAATAATGGGTATGCAATGCTATAGTCCAAATAGTAAACACATATTGTTCAATACAAATGATCAAACCAGTTTAGCTGATAGAAAAATATGTAGAAAACTAGTGGGACAGCATTAGAAAAAGAAATGAACTGAATGGTAGAACGTACTCAGTCACTAAGCATTAGGCTAATGAATCCAAAGACAATGAGAAAGTCAACGGAGACTCAGTAGAGTAACTTGTCCACATTATTCGAGGGGTGAGGGTCAGGGGGAAGAAGGTTAACCCTGAAGCAGTGTTTAACAGACTGAAGAAAGCCGAGAGACCAGTCATGTTATTTCAGTAGTTCAGAATAATGCCAAAGGTCTGAACTAGATGAATGTGGGGGAAAAAGAATGAAATTTGGTATGAGGGGACAACTGACAGAACCTGGTCAATGATTTGAAGTTAGACATGTACAAGGCAGAGGAAGGGATTCAAAATGTTTTCAAAGCTTTAAAACTGAAAACAGAAATATCATGAAAAGAAACGTAAGATGGAAAACCATTATTAATAAATTTTCCAACAGCTGAAGTGTTTCTAAACCAAAATTCTGTTTATTAACACAAAACAATAAAACATAAACCCAAAGGTAGCCAACTTCTGCAACTGCATTAACAACATTCATGCTCAGATATTATGAAGAAATATCCTACAATACTAAAGCATAAGCCACATATCATAAATATACATGAATTAGTAACTACTTGATCCAGATCCATGTTGCTATTCATTTTGTACAAATGACTCCCATTACTTGAATTATCATACATTTCATATTTAAAATAAACAAGTTTGAGACCCAGTTAATTATTCTGCCTAGTGAATTATATAAATAAAAGCAATGCATGTTGGGACATAGATTCTCAATGGCTAATCAACAGACTAGAAACACTAAACTGCAAACTAAGTTACTATCAAATCCTTTATAAATAAATACAGATTCATACGTTCCTTTTCCTATGTCTCCAAAAAAAATCAAATTCTGAAAAAATAAAAACTATAAAATACCACACCAGACAAGTTTCATAAATTTCTTGGTTACCTTTACTTTATCTCTTCTCAAGCAACAGAACAGACAATTTTCATCAAAAATCCAATCAGAAATGCTTTCAGGTTCACAGTCTGCAAAAACAGTAGGAATAAAAAATTAAGTCACAAATGAGGATTTTTCAGGGAATAAACAAGACTGTCAAAAATATTATTTTAACAACAACAAAAAATCCTCATTAAGAAGTAGGCAGGTTCCCGTTTGTGTTAAGAATCTTAACAGCAACTGCTCACTAGTTACTGTACCACATTCATACATATATCTGCACTATCAACTAAACACAAAAAGATGCTTATATGGATGTAGCTTTAACCAACATAAATTGTGAATAAAAAGGAGGAGACTGAGGATTAAATAAATCATCAAGGTATCATATGTCACCAGGATGATTTTTAAATACCAAAAAAAGATTTTGAATACCTTTAAATAAACTGAGATCTTTTAATAATGCAGGTCCAAACAGCCCTTCAAGAATACTTTCAAACCCTGAAAGGATGAAAAAATCCATTATTACAGTATTCCCTATTGTAATTGGATATTAATCTATTACATGAAAAAATGATGGTGTTTTCTCCAGTTCTTGAGAATACCCAGATTATTACTGAAGAGATGCTAAGTGTCAATGGCACATCTAAAAGGAGAATCTGCATTTTTGTCAATGATTAACATTCAATACAAATTCAGAGCACGTTCCAGAACAATATAAAACAGACAGTGCTAGAAATAATCAATGAAGAATGGAAACTAATGGATTCTCTTACCATCTTACAGAATCCCAAATAAGCTCTTTATATAAACATTCAAACTCCATTTTAAAAGGTATCTTTCCCAATGAAAGAGTCAAACTGCTTCAAAATTGCCACAGCATTCTGGATTAACCAAAATACCATGCTTCTAAATATCAACAAAGATGAGATTTTCAAGCTAATAGTTTTTTGAAGAAGGAAAATTCTTACTAAAAACAACATCCATATCACTACAGGAAAAAAAAACCATTGCATATTTTAACAGAAAATACTTTGTGATTACATTGTCACAAGAACTACTTACTGGTTCCTTTATGACATTAGAAACCACTAACTACACACACCGCGAAATATAAGAAAAAATTTAAATATACCCGTACATAAATGTTTAAACTATTATCATCCTGTAATAGTATAAAGTAGAAAATGAAACACACACTAAAGTTTCTAATTTATTTAATCAAATATTGCTCATGAATGCAATAAATAACAATGAAAAAATATCTTTGTCATCCTGTTGTTTTCTGTGGATTTGTTATTAGGAGAAAAAAGAGGGTCCTGGCTGGTGTGACTCAGTGGACTGAGTGCCAGCCTGCAATCCAAAGGGTTGCTGGTTTGATTCCCAGTCAAGGCACATGCCTGAGTTGTGGGCCCAGTCCCCATTTGGGGGTACAAGAGAGGCAATCACATACCAATGTTTCTCTTTCTCCCTTCCTTCCCCTCTCTCTAAAAATAAATAAATAAAATTTAAAAAAAGGAAAAAGAGGAAGGGAATTAGACTGTAGCTTTACACAACATTACAGAAATAATGGACTATAGCAGTGGTTCCCAAACTATGTGTGTTGTACCTCACTGAATCCCAAAGGGTTACAAGGGATACATGAATCCATATGAACTTTAACTGTAACCTTTAGGAGTCAGTGTGTCTTGTGCATTTTGTGTACATACTACTTTTCAAATGCATAGAAATGTTATTCTAGTTAAGAAAACATAAAAAGTGTTACTGAATTTCTAGTAATTAGGGGCACTATGAATTTTGTCACATAATCTATCACTTAAGGATTTATAATTTTTAATTATTAAAAAGTACTTTTATGTTCAAAAGGGAGTGAACACTAATTTAAAATACTATAGACAGGGGGATATGTAAGGTCCACACACAAGTATCATTTCCTTATCACAAATCCAATCACCATAAAATGTCTGGAAGGTGCAGGGTCAGATAAAATGGTCCCTGCAAACTATTCTATCTGGTTGTAAGAATAACATTGTGCCCTGGCCAGGCAGATCAGCTGGTTAGAAGTCATCCCAAAACACCAAGGTTGAGGGATCAATCCCAGTCAGGGGACATATAAGAATCAACCCATGAATGCATAATTAAGTGGAGCAACAAATTGATGTTTCTGTTCCCCACCTCTCTTTCTATTTCTCCTCCATCTCTCTCCTCCATTCTTTGTCCCTTCCTCTCTCTCTCCCTCTCTCTAAAATCAATAAATAAAAATTTTAGTTTTACAGTTCCAGTCAAGATGGAGGCTAGGTAGACATGCTTCACCTCCTTATGCAACCACAGGGAGAGTTACAACTATATTTCAAAACAAGTAACAACCAAACTGTCAAAAAAAATGACCTTTATGGAAGTCAGACAACCAGGGATTTAAAGAAACCACATCCATTCAGACGGGTAGGAGGGGTGGAATCATAGAGAAGGATGGAGAGGCACAGAGATGTGGTGTGGCATGAAGATGCTGCAGTGGTGGTGGCAGAATGGGCGGTCCCACACCCACATGTGATGGATAAAAATCAGGAGGGATACCTGGGGAGCAAGCTATTCCAGGCCAGACCACACAGCCTAGGGTTCTAGCACTGGGAATGTGAATCCCCACAACTTCTGGCTGTAAAAACCAGTCAAAGTTGGCAGGGGAAGAAACTGCCTGATTTTCAGGAGAGTCTGTTTAAAGGGCCTGTGCGAACTTGGAACACACACAACCCACCCACTGGGATTCACCACCAGGACAACGGCTGGAAGGGCACCGGTAGCATATGGGAAGTAGGAGAAATGACTGGAAATGGGTTAAGTGTGGGGCAAACCTCCAGAAGCCAGGCAGTGGCACTGTCCCCTCTCTGAGCCCTCCTGCCACACAGAGCCACAATGTGGTGAAGGGGGTTGCCCCACCCTGGCGATTACCTAAGACTCTGCCACACACAATTTACAGGTGTCTTTTCTAAAACAGGCAGTCAAAACAGCTGTACCTAATACACAGAAACAAACACAGGGAGGTGGCCAAATTGAGGAGACAAAGAAATATGGCCCAAATGAAAGAACAGAACAAAACCCCAGAAAAAGAACTAAATGAAATGGATATAACCAACCTATCAGATGCAGAGCTCAAAACACTGGTGATCAGGATGCTCAAAGAACTCATCAGATACAGCAAAAAAACATAAGGGAAGAAGTGAAGGTTACACTAAGTGAAATAAAGAAAAGTCTACAGGGAGCCAACAGTGGAGAGGATAAAATTGAGAATCCAATAAATGATTTGGAACATAAGGAAGAAATAAACATTCAACGGGAATAGAATGAAGAAACAAGAATTCAAAAAATGAGTAGAGGCTTAGGAATCTCTAGGACAACTTTAAATATACCAACATCCTAATCGCAGGGGTGCCAGAAGGAGAAAAGCAAGAGCGAGAAATTGAAAACTTATTTGAAAAAATAATGAAATAAAACTTCCCTAATCTGGCAAAGGAAATAGACATGCAAGTCCCAGAAGCAGAGTCCCAAAGAAGTTGGACCCAAAGAGGGACACACCAAGACACATCATAATTAAAATGCCAAAGGTTAAAGATAAACAGAAGCTCTTAAAAACAGAAAGACAAAAGAAATTAGTTACCTAAAGGAGAGTTCCTATAAGACCATCAGCTGGTTTCTCAAAAGAAACTTTGCAGGCCAGGTACTGGCAAGAAGTATTCAAACTGATGAAAAGCAAGGGCCTATAACTTAGATTACTCTATCCAGCAAAGCTATCATTTAGAATTGAAGGGCAGATAAAGTGCTTCCCAGACTATGTAAAGCTAAAAGAGTTCCTCATCATCAAGCCATTATTATATGAAATATTAAAGGGACTTATTTAGGAAAAATAAGATCAAAACTATGAACACTAAAATGGCAACAAATTCACAGCTATCAATAACTGAATCTAAAAAAAACTAAGCAAACAACCAGAACAGGAACAGAATCACAGATATGGAGATCATTTGGACAGTTATCAGGTGGGGGGGAGAATGGGGGGAAAAGTGCATGGATTAAGAAGCATAATTGGTAGGTACAAAATAGATGGAGAGGTTAAGAACAGTATAGGAAATGGAGAGTCAAACCACGGACATGAACTAAGTGGAGGAGGACTGGTGGAGGGGAGGGGGGCTCCTCCCATGGCAGAGGAAGACAAAGGGGGAAAAATTGATACAACTGTAATAGTGTAATCAATAAAATATATTTTAAATTTTTAAAAAAGAGTAACACTGTAATTTTAGGGATTTCTTTGTCCTTAGTATTAGCCATAATTTTCAATAGAGTAATCCCTAGAATTTGTAGTGTCTACACTATTTAGAGTTGATTTTTCTACACTATTTTCTAGATTCTAGATTTTCCATTTATGATTAAGGAGCAACTGTTTCTCAAGTCTTAATTCTTCCCACCAAAATTATTCCAAGAATATTAGCAAGATCAAACTACTCATTTAAAAAAACGGGAGGTATCTATGCTTGAGTAATAGTTCCCTAGTATAATTAAAACATTTCCTACTAAATTGCTATGGGCTTTCTTCCCTACATTAAGGACAAGAAGGGGTTGTGCTGGGGGTTTTGAGGGTGGGGAGATGGTGGCAGGTAAGGGAGTAAGATGGAATTGCTAGATACTGCCTACCACTGTAAACTAGATATTCTCAACACTAGTCTTTTTTAAAAAAATCCCACCATCTGTCTCCAACTCTGAAGCCCTCCTACCCACCCCCCAAAAGGAATTGATTTTATTTCCATATCTTGAAAGCACCAAGTACACACTGCAAATAGCTAAGGGAGATCACAGGTGGTTCTTATCCTGAAGAACAAAAACCAACCAACCAACCAACCAACCAACCAACCAACCAACCAAGTGTTCGCTTGGGTCTATAAGAAATTATAACAAACTCCAAACTTGCATGCTAAGCATATATTCCTGAAAAGGAAAAATGTAAATACAGTGAGAAATAACACTGGGAAACAACAACAACAATAACAACAACAACAACACACACAAATAAAAGCTCTGGAAGACAGAATTTTAAAACTACAAAAGATGACAGAAACTGAAATAATAAAAAAAACAATCAAAACTTCATTGATAGCACACAGACAGTAAAAAAAACAAATCACAGATCAAAAAGCAGTGAAAGACCAAAATCAAACCAGAAAAATTGATCATAAATACAAAGTTTTAACCACAACTAATCTTGATCAAAATACTAACTGTAAACAAGTCACTCTTCTTTTACTCATATCTGCAACAATACATTAAACTTCACAAATATTGATTTCACACTGAAAAGCCATATTTTGCTACCCTTTCTTAACTGAATTTAATGCCACTCGGTTTTATTAATATTAAATATTGAATTTAGCAGTTGCATAGCAACAAGGAATGTCTCATGTGCCATGCTTGACATTAACAAAAGGCAAATAAGGAAAGAACAAATGTATTCAAAA